TGAAATTATAACCTATTTAGACTTGTATTCCATATTTCTGTAGATACAACCTAAAACCCTATTTGCCTTACCACTAGCAACAGAACACTGCTTGGATGACTTTAGACTGATCAACTATTACACCAAGATCTCTTTCCTTTGTAACACTGTTAAGATTATTCCCATCCAAATTATACATTGTAATATTTTGTATATGTTCTTCTTTTGCTTATCATTAGCATAATATTATTAGTGTTATAATACTAGTCAAGTTTGTACCAATAACAAAGGCAAGTATGATATATTTGAACTTGAGGGATCCAAGTAAATACCACTAAAAAGTGCTATTATTAAAAACAAAAAATAACTACTAGGAATGTATAATTAACACAGATCATTATATTTCTTATTGAAAACTTTATAACATTAATTAGATTTATGTGAATATGGAAACTGTTTTCCATGTTAAAAAAAAAATATTGGTAGACATCTGGAGAAAGTGTCAAAAAACTGTTGGTATACAGGATATCAACATAATAAAGTACATCTGTTGCTAGTGGGATTTTAGGTTATATATACAGAAATATTGACTATAATTAGTAAGTATAAAGAGGTTATAAATACAATTTCATTTTGTAAATCACTGACTGACTGGTTAGGCCTTGTTTGGAGTAATGTGTTCAATATTAGACTCCTTACCTTAGGAAAGACTTTGAATTGTTGTAAAGGATTAAGAGGAGGGCTACTACTACTTGTACTAGAATGTTACCTGGGATGAAAAGGATGTCATAAGAAGAAGGTTAAGATCTCTGAAATTGTTTTCTCTTTAAAAAAAGAAGAGTTAGTAGGGAATCTTATTGAAGTGTTTAAGATTGTTAAGGTAATTGACAGTGTTGATGCCCAATTTTTTGTACTTAATTGTGAGAATGGTAGAACTAGGGGACACATAAATTTTGGCAGGTAAAAAAGTCATATTCAATTATGACAGTTTTATTTCTCTGACAGAGTGCTTGGCCTTTGGTATGTGTTGTCTTCAGATATGGTGGATGCAATAATGTGAATGGAAGGTATGATAAATAAATAAATGATAAGGGCTAGCTTTGATTTTTTTTTAATTAGGGAATGTGACAGCCAAGACAGACTAACTGCCCTCTTATTCTCCTTAGATTTTTTATTATGTTATTTTGTGTGGAATTTTACTTATGTTAGTAGTAGTGATTAGTTGGACTACATATTCAAATTGTATTTTGTAATTTCAATTTTATATATTACTAAATTGTATCATTTTCAATGAAGAGTTTAAAGTTCATTTGAAATCTTATTTTTACTTCATTAGCACATTGTTAAATGTATTCCAGTGTCAGTTGAAAATTAGTACATAATAGCTTTCACCATTTTGCCCTCTTTCAACCTATTTTAGCAGTTACCTGCAAGGTCTTAATGTTATTGTTTCTGTATACCACAGTGAAATATATAATTTGAAATTTGATGCTGTTTGAAAGTGACACTGGTTATGTGCACTGATATGTGGCATACATACTTAAGCTCCATACCTTTGTTCTTTTAAAACTGAATTTGTATAAATAGGTTGCTGAACTCCTCTAGCTTTTTTTTTTCTTTTTTGCTAATCATTATGCAGAAACCTCTAAGGATTTTTAGCAGTTGCACATAAGTCTTTTTTTTTTTAATATCAATCATGCTGCTTTTGTATAAGATACAAGTCCTTCTCAATTATAAATTATATGTTATGGTACATAATTTCTGTTAATAATAAAAATTAAAGGATAATATTAAAGGTTGTTATATTTAATAACCATAATGATCTACATGTATGAGAATTAGAAAAAGATAGGCTGAATTCTAAAAACTTGTCCTTTTTTTAAGCATTTTAGGGTCAAGTTGTATTAAAATTGCTTTCAGTGAAAAAACTTTTTATGAACTTGTATAGAGATTCATATTATTAGAAGAAATTTTATAATTATGGTTTAAAATAATGTTGAAAAATAGTCCATTATTTTGTCATATAAAAACTTCTACCCTCTGTTTTAAATTTTTGTTCAAAATATAGATATTTTATTGGTTATTGTGTTTGTTTTGATGGATGCAGTTGCACTAGTACTTGTGAGCACCCATAAATGCTGTTTTGTCCCCTCTTCTTGCATGTCACAGGAGAGATTTAGAAAAAATTATAACAGTACAACATTATTCTATTTATTTAAAATAATCTTGCATTACATTGTGTGACAACATTTTGTCTCATGACAATACAGTAATTATAACCTTTGATTCCATTGCTATATATGTGCACAATGCTTTGATTGGACTCTTGCTCGGCTCAGTGATCTGATGTACAGGAACAATGTTTTTATGGTATTGTATAGTTCATTATAAACATTTTATTGGAATTATTCAAAGAAAATATGATGATATTTCAAAAATGGATGTGTTAACTGACACTTAAAATGTATTTCAAATGTTAACCATGATCTAGTTGTGTCACCTTCTCAAACTACTTGGTATGACAAGAGATTTAGAAAATTATAGAAGATCAAGAAAATTAGTGAAATAGGAAATTAGGACATCAAAAAGGATGTATGAGAAAAGGTTGGCTGAAAATGTGAAAATTAACAGTGAGGATTTCTTTGA